CATAACAAGCTTCCAGAATAATTAGCTCTCGGTTGAAATAAACTTTTATTTGTCATCATTACTTAGATTAGAAATCTACATTAGGGTCATTCTTAGCTCTCTTCTTCCACACCCTCATGGTCAGTTGGTTCATGGGTAGTGTCATCTCTACCTCCTAAGTACAGCTTGCTTTCGTGTATCCCACTTTTTGTTATTTCCTACTTGGGTTATTGTACTGTCTTTTTATCTGGTTGTCTAACTCCAAATCTCTCCCTTTTAAAATCTATTTTACCTTCAGATCACCACTAACATTTATAGACTAGCATTTCTTAAATCCTGGAATATTCCTTAGTCAGTATCACATTCAGTGAATTATGAATCAGAAGCTACTGTAAATTGTATGCTTGGTGATAACTAGCTGAAATTAGGTATGTTACTTTATTCCTTATAAAAATGGTATCTGTATTATATACCTAAAGTGTACCAATGAAGAAAAAGGACAAAAATGGTATCTAGAGAATCCATGATATTCTGATAATATGGCACTTCTAAGGTGAATGATTAAAGTGTATGTCATACTTTACGTTTAGGTGAAATTTTTCCCTTTTTATCTGGTGATTTTCATATACATTTAGTGTTCTTCAAATTTTGTCATCAAAAATATTTATTGACATTAAATGCTTTATGTACATAATTAACTCATTTAAAATTAAATACTATGACATTGATTAACTATATAGTGATAGTTTAAACATAAATATCACTAATTATTTAAAAATTACTTTTTAATCTGTCATGAATTAAGCCTTCTTGAATTTAAGATTACTTTTTTACACAGTGACAAAATAATTGAGATAATTCCTGCGAGGGATGCAGTTCCTAAGTTAACAGATAATTATGTGGAAATTACCTTATAAAGAAGTTCCAGCTCCTTAGCACAGCCCTAACCAATGTGGACTTAGGTGGCTATAAAACTTTCATAGTTGACCATCTGATGTTGTAGCCACAGGTGATTATTTGTCTTTCTCTGTGAAGCTCCTCCCATTGGTTTTATCCATGTCTTGAAAATAATAGTAGAGCCCAGAGCACTCAAGAACTGTGTGTGTGGAGGGGAGACACACATGTAGTTATTGTTGATGGAAGATTGGATTGCTGAATGGGGACAGAACACTTTTCAAATACAATGTCTCATTTACAGTAATGTAAAAGGTGTGGACCAGTCTCTTCCTGGTTCTCAGATCAAGGTCATATTAGTAGTGATTGTCCGCTCATGCTGCAATAACTAAGTGCCATAGGCTAGGAGGCTTAGACAACAGAAATTTATTTACTCACAATTCTGAAGCCCAAAGGTTCCTGGTCAGGGCCTCGCAGGGTCAGTTTTTGGTGACCTCATCTCTCTTCTGGCTTGTACCTGGCAGCTTCCTTGCTGTGTGCTCACATGGCCTTTCCTCAGTATGGCTGCACAGAGAGACACGTGCTTTTTGGTATCACTTCATATAAAGATGCTGATGCTACTGGATCAGGGCCCACACCTTATTTAATCTTAATTTCTTCAGAGGCCCAACTATAATCATATTGAGGGCTCGGAGTTTAACATACGAATTTTAGGGAGACAACAACATTCAATCCATAACAGTGATTCAGAAGTTGAAACACTTCTAGAATTCATAGCATAGTTTAAAAGTATTTATAAAATTTTGAGTATCTGATTTATTTTGGAAAGTATTCACTCAACATAGAACTGTGTTTCTATTTTGCATACTAATATGTTTTCATGTTATTCCTAATGTAGAAGGCAATGGAATGCATGGTTTAAGAAGTTTCATGTTCAAATAAAATGTGTATATTCATATAAACATAAATTGATTTGGATTTTGTTTGAAGCCTTCAGTAAAAATAGCTGTGGTTACCGCATATAACCCTCAAGACATCAATATGCACTAAACTATGCAATTATAGCTTTGAAATGGCCATTCCTTAATATATCTTTTTATTCTGTCAAGCTTTCTTTCTCTATTCTTTGAAATAATTGAACAAAAAAAGGTAATTTAATGATTTCAGCTTTACCAAGATCTAGGTATAATTTACTCCAGAAACATTGAGCACTCTATAAATATTTCAGTGCAGAAATAGAACCAGAAATGGATATGAAATTACACTGTGCATGATGTAGGTGAAAATCTTTGGGGAGGAGTAGGCATTTAACTGGGGTGATTTTATTTAATTTTTTTCCTAAGTGGTACTTTTCTCATCATCTGTTACTTCATTGCTTATGCTATTAATTGCCACATGCCTAAATGATTTTAGTTTTGCTTCATTGCTTTGGACTTGACAACATAATTCAAATGTAAAACAGTTGATTTGCTGACATGGGGACTTCTTTTGGGGGATTTGTTTTCAGTGGGAATAAAAATCATAGTATTTTGTTGAGCCAGGTTTCCTAAAAGCTATAGTGAATAATGCTTAAGAACACATTCAAGCAAAATAAAATTGATAATTGTTGGCTGGAGTTCTGTCTGAAGTTCAGGTGGCTATTAACTTTCTGTTTTTGGAAGTGCAGCCCTGTGCTAGATTTGGTGCAAGATTTTGTATTTGGTCTCCAGTCTCTTCAAACTGTTAGTAATCATCGCCTGGGCTGTTCTTAGTGTGCAGGTGTGGATGTCTAGGGTGCTTTGAAGTCATACTGGAAATTAGTAGAGGTTAGGGAAATTCATTTTGAGAAGATATATCTATCATTACACAAAATTAGCCTATTAAATGCCTACTCAATACTTACTTGTAAGATCCTGGGGGCCTCGTAGAAGATTTAAGGCAAGTATGTATTTGATTAGCATTTATTAAGTACATGCTATATTCTGGAGACTTAGAAGTTATTTGAGTTAATATATGAACAAAATGTAGTCTTTACTTTGGTATTTTACGGTGTTCTTCTAAATCGATCTGTGTGTTACTTACTTAGGTCTCTTGACCTCTGTGAGGCATGTCTTAAACCTAGTGCATAAAGTTTGTATTAAATTTTATACTTGGAAATTTCTAAATTCTAAAATACTTTATTAAGTATAGTATATGACATTCCAACATGTCAGCAAATGTTGTCTTTCTACCATAAGCTCATGTTAAAGGAAGTAACTCACATCTTTGTATCCATTAATTTTTTGGCATAGTGCTCAGATTTACTGTGTCTCGTGCAGTATGTCAAACAATTTAATGAGTAGGAGCTTGAGGATAAAAAGAATACTGAAGTTTATTGATCCTTTATATTAGTCTTAATCCTAAGAACATTACATGAAAGGTCTGTGATGTGGGTAGATATTGTAATTTTTGCATTTTACAGGTAAAGAAAAGGAGGAAAATGAGAAGATTAATTCAGTAGCAAATGATAAAACCTGAGAGTTGATGGCTCAGGGTTTGAAGTTATAGCCAATTGTTTTTAATCTTTTTATACACTTATAGGCTGAGTCTAGTGAAACTATGATTTTAAAATATCAGGCACAACATCCTATTATATACTTTAGTAACTTTTTGGCTCAGTGTTGCCTTATAGTATTATTCACTAAGATTAAAGTCTAGCTTGTAGATGGGTATATTGAAGCTCTTTCAGTTTATAGCCTAGCTGTAAGTAGGGTCGAATGGCAAAACAAAGTATTTCCATAACCCACTTAGAATAGAAGGATGCAGAGCCTTAGGTGAACATTTTTTGAGACAAGGCTTTGCTCTAAAGCCCAGGCTGGCGTCAAATTTGCAGCAGTCCTCCACCCTGAGCCTCCCAAGAGCTGAGATTACAGGCGTGTGCCACCACATCAGCTAGATGGACAGTGATGCTTGTTCATTGTGGGGCACAGAATGTACAGTGGGTAATAGGAAATCCAAGAACTTCATAGGACTATTGCTATTTTATTTTTGATCTTGCATCGATGGATTGGAATACTTGCTTCTGGGGGTTGGCTATTACCAGTCAAAGAGGAATTGTTAACAAAATGTAGATAATCCAGAAGGAATTGTAGAGGTTGGTAATCTCGAGACTTTTGGAAACAACTGAAAGAAAATAGATGGTATTATTTAAACCATGTTTAGGCTTAAGTACTGGCAGGCTGAGTTACAAATGCTGTTTTTCTTTTAAGAGATAGGAGTATGGAAAGAAAAGGAGGCCAAAAATGAATAAGTGAGTGTGGTTTCGGAAGCAGTATCATTATCTCCTTGAGAAAATTTTCTTAAGCAGAGAATAATCAGAGAGAATTCACCGTTGTCACCCATATCATGACCACTTGTCCACCCTCTTTCCCATGTAAGTGCTCCTCTTACCCATTTAGTGTACTTTTGCTGAGAAGTTTAAAAATACAACTTTTAAATTTAAAAATACAACACTTTCATTTTTTGTCTTTTTAAATTTTTGTAGTATACATATACAAAGTTGCCAGGATTTCCTGAATGCATGACTTAGCTCTTTTCTAGCATGTCTTCATGAAATACAATAATTTGTATAATAATTATTATTTAATCAGTTGCCTAATCTGTGCTCATTGAAAGTGACCTAGTAGAAGTAGAAAAGTGGTATTTGGTGATCATTTGTTGGAACTGGTCACTGCTAAGGGGGATAGCAGCAAGAATGGCCTCCTCAAATCGTAAGTCGCTAAATGTTTGGGTTTGAAGTCTGACTTTAGAATTCTCAGTGCTCTTATTCCAAGGAAAGGTCTGAATCACGAACAGACTTCTTTTAAGAATCACCTTTTTAAAGATCCAACTTTTTTTTTTTTTTTTGGACCGGGGATTGAAGAAGATCCAACTTTTTAATATTAGAAATTTATTGTTTTCATATATCATTCTTCTATCATATTACTAAAATCCAGTTAAAGTTAAAACTTTTAATTTTCAGAGTTTTATAAATTAGTTTATAATAGATAAAGTGGGTATGGGGAAAAATGAGAACCCAGACCTGTCATGTAAAGGTACAAGATCCCAATGGTGAATGTAACTGTGTTGTGTACCTAAAAAGTACCAATAAACTCCATGAGAGAAAAAAGAAAGTAATAAGGAGTTGTGAAAAATAAGCAGGCTTTTTGAATGTCTTGGAACAGATAATTATCTAAAATTTAAAATCTAGTCTTTCCCTTACTCAACTTTTACTACAGTACCTAGTTTCCCAAGCAATTTCTAGCCTTTATTTAAAAAGTATGGTTTGCAAAAAAAAAAAAAAAAAAAAAAAAAAA